TAGCGCCGACAATGATACAAGAGTGGCTTACCTTGCACTAAACGCAGTTCTAAACCTGCGTAAAACATTCACTGTAATCATGAAGCAATGAGCACATATGGTATGTGGAAGCAAGTCACGATTAATGCGCTACCTGCCAACATGCTCGGGCGTGTGATTGAGCATCCGTGCTTCTCAAATTAGTGTCAGCTGGTTTCTGATGCCGTCACAAATTGATATCGTAGTGGGCGGGTACACAGGTCAGTCTCGAAACATCACCAATGATGTCGGAATTTCTTTGTCCTATGCGTTTGCAGAATGTGGAATGACCCACCAGAATCTGTCATATGTGCTCCCACGCTGACAGAGTTCGAAGCCCGAGTTGCTCGTTTACTTAGTTCGCTGCACCATCTCACATGATTCATTACTCATAGATGAACCCAAGTGTCTGTAAGCGATGTAACTGGCGGCCAATTCCAAGATTTCGTTCCACTTGTTTATGTCCCGTATGTGTACACTAGAAGGTGACACGTTTTTCACCTACATCCCAGATGCCGTCATTCCTCATGGATTTACCACGGATTTACAGCCTATACTACGTATACCTCCGCGAATTCACCGATGTAAACCCAATTTTGCTAACGACTATTCTAGTTTTAAGTTTTAACATGACCGTTCTACGGGACCTGTTAAGACGAAGCTATTTTACCCGTATAAAACCATTGTTACATTGTTCCAGTTTACATTTTGCTAGGTCCATCAATCCCTATTTAACAGCACAGTCAGCTCCAGAAGGACGCGGCACGCACAATGTTTTACATCAGTGCCAACTCGACGAACGTGCCAGACCAGCGAGTTCAACAACTGCATAGACTTCCCAGCAGTTAGGCATACACGGGAGATTTACGGAAACCAATATATTTGGCTGACAATAATGCTACCGACACGCACATCACATATCGGCAAACTGGGACAAGTTGGTAATGGTGGTACGTGTCACCAACTACTCAAAGTAATTGTGCCGCAGCGAACTCAACTGAGCCATACTTCAGTGAGGGCGCACGGTGCATATAATAGCAAACACTGCCAGGTAAAGAGCAAACATGACGCGTCCAGCAGACACTCATTTGCATATCGAGTCAGTGCTCATATAACCTGCATTGGGGAATAAGTCGGCAAGGTTTCTTGTGTGCACAGAATCCTGGTGCCCCTCAAATTACCGTAATGCATCAACGGTTGCCCCATCGTAGTAGTACTCACTAACTGGAGCGCCGATCCGAGCTTGCATACCTAGTGAAGCATTGGTGTAAGAGCCGTTCCTTTAAATAAATAACTAAATAGGCAAATGGTCTTTTCTCGAATATGCGAGGCACACCTCCGTAGGCATGAACATGGTAATAAAAACACAGAGGATCAGTAAATATACATTAATGTTAAATGTTTACCAGTAGTATACTGGGCCTGTGTCTATATGTGGGCACGGATGTAGGTAGCTGTGTTACCTGACTTGCTAAACTGTACGCTGTAACTATGATTGTGTACGGTCTGGTCATCAACGTGAGAACGGGTCACAGGAATTCTTTGAATTAGATGACTGACGTCTGGAGTGCGTAAGATCACCCGAATAGGTAAGAGACAGTGCTTTTATTTAGGGGTGAGTCATATCCGCTACTTTGCATTGTTGCTAAACAGCTATCTGTGACTTTGATAGGGAGAAAGCTTGAGATGCGGAAACCAGCAAGTCCTGAGATCTTGCCGCCGAACCATTCACTAGAAGGAGATTACACTGAGTCGCTCAGCTGGTACCACGAGGAAGTTGTACGGCAAACTAGCAGGTGTTCTTAAATTTTTACTTTGGCTGAGGCGAAATCAACTGTTTCGAGTGCTAATCCCGCATGCTTGTCACCATAACGTACAACCCTTCAAGAGCAGTGAAGGAAGTCCGACCAAAACGTTTATTACAACAGGGAAAGGTTAAAAGTACGTCCTGGGAATATCGAAAAGGGCTCTTATGCACGGATGTTACTTGCATTGGATGGTGGGATTTATGAAGTCACTCTACTTGTGTGTCAGCAGTTAATAGCTAAGAATAAAATGTGAGATTCAGCTTGATACTAATGGATGCAAGTAATGGAAACGCTTTGTGTTCTCGCATAATAATCTTTCTGTTGGTGACGGGCGAGGAATACCCTTTATTGTGGGATGGTCACACTACCATCCAGACACACGCTAAAAGTAACTTTGACGTGTATCACGCTAGTGATAAAGGATACTTTACCCGGCTATTCTTACACGTCTCCGTCGTTCTGTATGAAACAAAACAGCCACTGTCGGGCATTCGAGAACACGATCCGAGGGGGAATTTGGGTGATATCTGTCGCACGCACCTCTTGTCGTCACGCTATACTCGGTCAAAGTGATCAGAACTTGAACCAAATTGGAACAACAAACACATACTTGCGTCTCCTTACAGCTCAGGAAATCTGAACTAGTTCAGAAGTCTCAAATCGTCAATGGGTTTTATAGGACCTGCCTTCATGAAGTAGGTTATTACCATGGTAGCCAAATTTTGAAATGGGCATCGAAGAAGAATTGTTGTCTAATGCATCCAAAAAACGGACCGCTCGTGAACATGACAGTGAAATCGTCACTGTAACCAGCGTTACCCGACAACTAGTATAGGACAAGGTCCTAATTCTGTCAGTTGGGGATACATGACTAATCAGTTGCGTGATTAAGGATCACGCAGTGGTTGAAGTGTACAATAGGGATAGGTTATTGGCAGTAGATGTTAAGAACTAATCAGCCGACAAGATGTAATGAGCAAGGTCTGGATCTCATCCTTCTGCCATCGCCATGAATGTATTGCGATCATGCATACCGGATTGAACGTGACGATGATGTTGAAATGAAACCGCTGAATAAGTGCATAAGTTTTTTGTTTCTGCTGAGTTTACCTAATTACTGTTGTTCATTGTTATGATAGAGAGTGCATGTCGCGTGCTTGAACTGAACCGCTTAGTTGTCGGTTGAATGTATCCGAATTAGAGAAGTTCCTTAATGATCAATTAGCAGAAGCTACGGTCCTCCTTCGTTCGGTCTAGACCTTGATTCTCATCGAAGCTACTCCATACTATGAGAATATCTACAATTAGCTGGCATGATGGATTCGTTTGTTGAACTTCAAAACAAGTCTAACGCCCAGCATGTGCCCCTGGGGATGTCTGTCTCGGAAATGTGTAAGTATATTCGAAGCTGACCTCAGTAGAAACGGTGTCTTGTGGCTCGTGTGTACTTTAAAGTACACAGTCATGATGACAAATAAGTTTAAAAACATTGGTTCAAACTGACCCAATTCTCACTCAACATAACCAATGTACTATAGTTGATGGTCAAATTAAACGGTTGCACAGCATAAATTCGTATCGACAAATCATTTTCACAGTCTGGTGTGTCCATGATCATTTGCTGGCATATCCTTCACCTAATCGTTAGTTTGGTTTGCAGTGGGCTGGCGTCGATCACCGTCAACATGTTCATCATCGATTCAGCATCATGACTTTCAACTTCCTCGTCAGACATATACATTTCACATCCTAGCAGACAGTTGCAAGTCAGCTGTTGCACCTTCGAATCAAATTTGCTCAGTTGTATAGATCCCATCAAGTGAATTACTTTCATGCACTTTCGCGTTTAAGGCTGTTGGGTCACGCAAGAACGAGACGAGTTCACAATGCTCGCGTCCATTTCAGTTTAAATAACCACTAGATACGACACCTGTCTCCATTAACTATGCCACCAGAAGTCGATACGCGCTGAAGCGCCTTGTGTGAAACACCGTACTGAGGCCTCCTTTGTATGCTTCTCATGCTGAATTGCGAATGTGCAATATTGCAACCCTGACCGATGTTGATACAATGACTCATTATTAGAATTGGTTCGTGTTTGAGAGGCTGCGCTGAGAGGCAGTGCGCTTAAACACTGTGAGCATAGCGCGATCGAATGAAGTGCTTTCATAGCGTCTGAAACACCAGCCCCCGGTAGCAGTTAGCAAACGAACATACCTTCGTTGATTTGCATCGGCAAACAGTGTACGTGATCATGAAAGATGAAGGACTATCCTTTTTGACACATGCTGACTCAGGAAAGAGTGTTGTCTGCTTGGTTTTAGAGCCTAGAGACTAACTGCTCCCTAACTATGCTGAGAGAGCTAAACTGCGGCACCAAGCAAACAAAGCTTTGACAAGACGGGATATCACGAGTTTGCAACTAGGGTGTATTTTGGAATTGCCTCAAACAACCCAAAGTGCGATATGATAAATTTTGACGAGAACACCAACAAGCCGTAAGTTTGTGACCACATCAAGCGTAGCTGTCCGAAGCGATGGGTTTGGGTGCTGTTTCGCACTCCACAATAGGAATCGCCTTCGAGTACGGATAACTAGGTTGGGATTGGAACTCCACACATAATGGGCGAACATCTAATGTTGCCAATCGGCAATCACATATTGCCGGGTTCCACTCCCATCTGAAGAGTCGAAATAAACAAGTAGAGCGAGGAAGGTTGTGATGCGACACCCTCAACTTTGGGTAACGGCCCAGTGGTACAAATGGTTGATTTTCTTTAGAGCAAATCGTGGCCCCCGACTAGACGGCGCATCACGACCCGGGCACACGGGAGGTGTCGACCAAAGGGCAACAGCAACCGCCCAATCCCACGTGGTGTTAATGGCAAGCGTCCAACTGAGCACACTGCGATCAGCCGCACTGCCTGTCCAACCACGTGGCAGCATGCAGCAGTCACCAGCCTAAGCAGCCAACTGTCCGCTGTTACCCCGTCCGCGCTCCCGTCCTCAATTGGTGTAAGTTGCTATGACCGAACCGTGAACGTGTCAGTCCAGTCTCAAAGGCGATTGGTCCGCACGTGCTTAACTGTTGATTGGCTTGTCTCGGCCCGTGCACCGAAAATGTTGGAGCGTGTATAAATCAACCAGATACCACGTGAGTGATATCTGGTGCCCTAGTAATCCGATGCAGATGACTTCCGCCGTGCGATTAGGTGACCAAGCTTTACCCAAGCATCCTGCCATTCCTGTTTACTCAAGGCTGAATGCAGCCAGCATATCCAGGATAAACTCTCTACCTGGAGTGTTTGCTACATCCACTCCAATCACAAATACCTCCACTTGTCGCGGCAAAGCCCGAAGAGGACGACGTTCCACCATCCCTGCGGAACAGCGAGAACAAACACGCCGAGTGAGTTTGTAATTTGTCAGTGCACACGGCTGAAAACTGCGGTGTAAATATCATGCAACGCTCATTCTTACATGAGAACGATAGTGAAATTACTCATTCAAATATGTTACGTACTAAGATGAGTGCCCATTAGCAAGTTATACCTCCTAGCTTAATACGACAGTGTTTCTTTCCAAAACTGTTAGGGATACCGTCACATTGGTTCACTAAACAGAATAGAATACGTGTTATCTGTATTGGGGGTGTAATGCTCGGTTGCATAATTGTTGTTTTCCTGAACTTTCAGCTGAAAAAGCAAAATATGGAACGACGACGCCGTGCATGTATATCTGACAAGTTGAACGCATTGCACAGTTTGGCTATGAATATCATTGGTATAGATGTGAGTTTAATCTTTCACCCAGTACAGTGTTGTTGTTGCGTCACTAGATTACGTCCCTTATTAATTCTAAGCTATTCTCCTCGCTTTTTGGACATGATCATGCGTTCTCACAAGCCGGCTGGTAGGCCGAGTAAGGGAAGCAGACGCTGTCCAACTCATCATTCCGGTAGCGTAACGTGTGCTTTCCCTTTAGGCCTTTAATATTTTCTCCACTCATCATATCCGACGGTAGACGATCTATCTTCATTGCAATCTGTCCCATCCTGATTGGGAAAATGCAAAATGTCCATGTCCCATCGTAGCCAACCTAATCAACACAGGTCACCAGGCTTGAAATCACTTGGGATTCCTGTGGTTGCTATGGTCCGTCTGTGGTCTCCACAATGGCGTGTGTTCCGTACATACCAAAACGAAATAAACTCATCTGCTAGTGAATAAGTGAGAATCTGGCCGTGAGCCAAATATACAACCGAGTTGATTTGTCTAACCCCATCTCTCTATGATTTCGTTGGCATCTTCCCCTATAAATATCACCTGATGTACTCTTTCTACTTTTCCAGTTTAACTCGGAGCACAGGTGGGAAAGAGCAGACATTCTCACAACGTGCTACAAAGTATTCGAGGGTATTGCGAAAATTGCTCGTGAGGAACCAGGTAGGAATTCCGTCCATGTGGCCTTGTTCATAGGAGATTGCTGTTGTCAATTTTGTGTTTGCCTTATTAAATTCTAGTGCACTGCCCCTGTAGAGACACCCGTATTGTCTAAACTGTCACCACTAGTAACTTGCAACTAAGTTTTGCACCCAAATCTGCTCACCATGCTGCCCACTTCCCTATATCTTCTTTTCTACAGCTTTGCAGTCAAGCTTGCAACAAATCCGCTCGCAATTACTATGTCCGGCGACTACTTTTTCAACGAATGAGACTGGCGATAGTGGAACTCATACAGTCGATCACGGAAAGGATGAGAGTGTCATATGTAACCCAGTGGCAAGTTCGGAGAATTGCGAAAACTACCCTCCTATCCCTCGCTTTTCCATCAGACTCTCGGCTCGTCCTACTTACACTCCTACATCTGGCACACAACCGATCTCCCTAGATAAAACTCGTTCGTGGTGCACAACAGATAGTGGGGTGTGCAGTCCTCCTGACAATATATACACGTATTCTACTGAGGAGCCAAACGAAAAACTGCGCCAGCACAGCTTTCGAGGATTTAGCAGCTCCCATATCCCACCATCTGCTCCAACAGAGCACTCAGCAACATCAGCTCCTTCGCTCCCTCGATTTCGGTTTACCTTATCTTCAATATCCAACAGTCCACTTCAACGTGCGCACTGCCGCTCGCATCCCGCAGGAAACCCACCATTGTTGCACCGAACAAGCACCTACAAGCGAATAAAAACATCTGAACCAACGGGCTCATCGCTAGTTTGGAGACCGTATCTTTAACTCATCGTGTGGTCAAACGGATGTAAATTTTTAACTAACACAATCATTGTGAACGCAACTAATGATTTTTGTACATTGATCTGAGAGATATAGGTTTACATTGCTCTTTAATTGTTTAGTACAGTTCTACTATGTGCGATATTCTCACAAACATAGCCCGTAGTCCACAGGATTACTGTTCCCGCTATGTAAAGGTGCATTTACCAATTATGACCACTTGTAGAGCGTGCAACCTACACAGTTGTGACTTTCACTGTCAGTAGTTGACTGGACTCCACTCAGTTCGTGCTTACGAGTGGAACTCAGGCACCGGCGGTGCTTGATACCAGTGAAACTAGACGCAAACTTCTGACGCAGGATCCGTACTCAACTAGTTGTTTAGGCTGACAACATTTACAGAGTCCTGTGGCATTCTTATCGGCGTTGGAGTAGAGGTTGAAGCGTACGATACAGCGTCATCAAGACCCGAGGTAAGTAGCGCAGTTCGGTTGCCAAATCCCTGTGTTTTCTCAGGAATCTAACTACGGTGGATACTTATGGTGAATTAGTTAATAAAAAAACAGTCAAGTATGCCTGCGCAGGTGCGTATCTGTTTCTGTGCTTGTAGGCATTGTATGTTTATGTCAGCACCATTGCATAGTGAGTATAGAGGCGAACACAACACAGACGGTCTAACCGAAAATGCATGTCACCACGACATGTTGGTTACTCGGATGATAGGCATCGCCGTTACAGCCAGCCACTCCACTACACTCAAATGCTGAAATGGGTATTATGTGCACTAATATGCGCACTTTATGGGTTGTTGCCAACTAGTACAGATTTTCAGCCGCCCTTGATGTAATCCCTCTAGCATCAAGTCCGCGTTAACACATCGGTGATATTTATTTAAATCTTTCGCATGCTTATATTTTTGCAGCCCAAAGTATGTTACTGTGGTTTCACATGCGTCCTACATAAACTTATAAGTAGAGCACAGTTTAAATTTCTGGCTTCAAATGAAGTCGTTGATCCTACTCTCCTGTCCGGAAATCGTAAGTACTAGTTGCTTACTCTTCGCTTTGCGCCTCTGTCTATTCCTGCAGTAACAGGATGCATGGATATTCTCAGCGGTTAGGCATTTAGCTCACGCGAACATTTTGCTATTGACTGAAACGGTCAAGGCACGTTTTGCCATGCGGGGTGCCACGTGCCATTGCCGCGAGAATTATCCGAAGGTCGAATGACAGTCTTCGTGCCTGTTGGGAAAAGAGCGCTTACCGTCATAACGACTATCAATAGATCAGGAGTTGCCGAATAGACATTACCATGTTCAACTTGGAAACATGGAATATGGTGTATCAAACATTAGTATTTCTCCGGACTATCAACCCGAGTGGAATTAGTTTGGTAACTGAGCCAAAACAGTTGTCGCGGATGATATTATTCATCAGTCAACAGTAACGGCGAAGCATGAATTCCTTGTTTCATGACCTTTCCTGGAAGGCAAATAAATTTTACTCGGTTGTGAGTTCTATTCAACATCTGGAATTACTTTACGCCCACATTGGACGACATAACGCCAATGATGCACAGATGGTGTGAGACATTTGGAAACACACGAATTTGCTTAGAAAATCGCAAGACGAACTGATATATGGATGAACTCCTTAAGATGGAGACACTGTGTCTAAATGTAGTCGCGGTACATAATAATAATAATAATAATAATAATAATAATGATTAATAATAATGTGTCAGCTGTACGCCGTAACGGCGCTTCGCTGCCGCACAACCACCACAAGTCGCGGGTGGGCTGAGTATACTGCGAGGACGCCCACCCCTACGCGGATTCGAACCGGTGACCTTATGGTTGCAAAGCAAACGTGCAGACCACTCGGCCGGTAGCGGTGCTTCCGAGACTTTGCCCCACTCACTTTGAGCAGTATTGACCAAGAGTGAAGCAGACAACTTTGGCTGGCAGTAAAATGTGGATGCACGGTCAACAGTCCTTAACGCGAATTATCTCATCCATCCTCTTCAAATCCACACAAACTGCTGCGAGTCAAACCAACTGATAGTGTATAAATCAAAATCAGGAGCAGTATGTTGAGAAAAACATCCAATATATCTGTTTGTTGAAAGAAAATGATTGTCAGTCTGCAACGGAGTATGTGTAATTAGTGGACGCGTTGCTTTAACTGGGATACCTCGATGGATTTCAGATCCACAGAAAGCAGGTGCAACAGCGGAGATCGTGTTAATGACATCTGACTGCGAGCTTTCCAGCTGCAGTCGCTTCAACGTGTGTTCTCAAATATACGCTACTTTATTTCCATGCAATTAATCCGACTATCTATCTCGTTAGCTTATGTATGGAATGCATCACACTGCGTGTGCAACATCAAGACGACCGATGGAAAGCCAGAAGTTACATAACCACAACGTACTAGACATAAATAATTGTTGGGTATTAGCAATTTTTAACACAAATCCACGAACAGTGTCCTGCTTGTAGGTATTAATCAGGTAGAAATTTTATGACCAATTCATGCCGACTATGAAAACAGAACAAATCCGTTTTACGAATCGGTTTCTTCTGCATAGTGGGCCTTTACATTAGGATTGGTCAACTCATTATCCTAGCTACAAAGCCCCACTTACAGCAAACAACCAAGCAAAGGTTGATTTCTTTCACCAAGGACTGTGACTAATGCCAACATCAGCAACAATCGCACCTGCGACAAACCCAGTTACACCCATAAGTTTACTGATCGACTCGTTGGTTTTCAGGTGATCAGACAATGGCTTTTCTGAATGTCAACCAACGGGAATCGGAGCACCACGGGACAGTTATATGAGTGACTGAATATACTGGACCGGAAGCCATGTCGCGAGAGGCTACCGTGAGTATGCGAATGAACTGATCACGTTAGCTAGTATGCGTCCAACCTGAACAGTCCAGTGTAATTGTGTACTGTTTGTAGACGATACCCCTGAGTCTTTATCAAACTAGGAGGGAGCAATGCCGAAACCCTCCTCTTCGGTTACGGTTACGGTGATCGGAACAACACAGAGTGACTTCAAATTCAACCGCAGCTACAACTGAGATTTCACGTCGCAATCCAAGGCACGCAGCAAAACCCTACAGTAAGCCACTCCGACCATTTAGAAAAGTGACCGCACCTCCAAACTTAAAGAGCTAAATGTTGACAACGAAATCTCTCGTTTCTGGTCTGATTGCTACTGATGCCCATTATTTTGGTTGCGTGCCTTGCGTGTACAAGCGGTTCTGAGCTGTGCCCATTGAAACAACTCAAGTGTATATTTTGTGCCTCCATGAGTCTTCTGGTAATTGTACATACCACAGTTATGGATAATCAAAGAAACAAAATAGTACAGATTGATACTTTAAAGTATCATTTCTTAACATAGTTAACAACTGGCATGAACGAAGCAGCTTACCAACCGTTTCCTTGTTGCGCAAATTTTGATGTTTACTACCGTGACAGGTAGTGGATGTCTGATGTACCATAGGCAATTGGGTGAGCATATGTAAGCTGTACATCCACTTGGTCGAGCAGCTTGACCCAGATTCAGACAACGCGCTGCGGATGTGGTGGTTGGCATCAGTGCAACGTTTGGAGGCGTTTCTGTAGAAATTACAATGATTAAATGCAGTGCCTTTAGGCAGATTTCGACTTGATGAGTCGTCACCACAAGACTGACATTTTTAGGTCTAAAATCAAAGAATAACGGAACACCATACGAAAGCAATGGGTTCAATGATACAAGACACGAGGTAACTTTTGAATAAAACATGGAGGTACGGGAGAAGGTAAGTGACGAGTGACGTAGGACCAGTGCCCCTGACTAAAGTGAGTTTTCCGTGCACACGTTACACTGTACTTCCCAGGAAAACGTGCTGTTATACATCATAAATATGAAGCTGTGGGCGATCTGTGGGGATTCTTTGGTTATGATCGCCTTTAGGTAGTGTGAATAGAAACTGTTTTGTGGAATCCCGCAACACATTGTTCCATGATGTCAACTGTCTGATTTGTGCATATACCATACAGAGTTAGTTTGTTAGTGCCATTGTAGTCTATCACTGAATCTATACATCACATAATGATTAAGCTTTGTCCTGTGTACTTGTGTTAACTGGATCTCGGTCCAAGTCATTGAAGCAACTTGAATATTCGTGTTATCTTTGGTAACGCAGCATTGCCGTCGATTGAATTGACGCTGTACATACACCAACAGAGGCGGCCAACATCGTCGGATGAGCAGATATCTTTCTTTGGCAAACTAGCGGCGCCATACTGTATATACTTTTGCAACTGAGGCTGTTGACCAACACACATTGTTCCATTGTTCCATATACAGAACGCTTCCGGACTTAAGCTCTGACTGACCGTCGTGGAATAGAGGTCACTTTTATCATACCGTCGTCACACAGGTCTCACTCGAATCGGATTTGCACAAATTAATAACCTGGCAGACCCGATTGTTATTATGAAATTTACCATGGATAAAACTGTGTTCCCTACATCAGGAATTAGAGTCAATGCTCTGCTAGGTGAAGGCTTTGGAGTAGATAAGCTGTACAACTTTGCCTTCAGAGCGCTAATTTGGTTGGAATGCAAGTACGGCCAAATGGAGCTGGCAGTGACTGCTCAAGTGTTATGTATGTGACACTCCGGTCGACGTTTTACACTCACGCGCACTTGGTAATTGTTGCCTAACAGCACTGGCAGACCGTCATGCGTATCTGTGCTTGAGACTGGGCGGTCGGCACCTCTTCCACATGCGTGCCAACAGGCAGTTATCATGAATGCTGCAAGAGCTGTATATTTTAGCAACTGAAAAATTCCCATTTAAGTTTTTACTTTTTGGATGGGGGAAATTACATGTGCTGTTACTCAGTTGGAATACTCGTATACTAGTTTTCACGTGATTCGCCCATCCGGTTTAGTGCAGGGAAGTTGCGGATGGCATAGCCCAGCGAAATCCGTTTGCATTTGAAACAGTAGTTAGTAAAACGACGTCCACTTCAAAGTACAAGCAGTCACTTCTC